AGCTGTACGTAGTCGCCATTGTGTTGTTTTAATCCTTTTTGATGTTTTAAGGATATCCGGCCTGATGATCGTTTTGGTCGCACCCGTATCCAACAGCATGGTCCGTAACTCTCCATCCACGAAACTAGCCACAAAAATGCTGTTGAACTTGTGTTGTAGCGATGCGACTTGAACAGTTTTCGTTGGAACCTGTTGGGTACTGCTCCATATGTGTCCCTTTGATTCGACACTTGGCGAAACCGAGTCCACGTCTTTTTCTTGACAGTGACTTCTTACGTGTCCTGCCTGGCCGCAATTCCAGCAACAAGTCGGTCCTTTCTTGCCCATGTACTCCTCCATGACTTTCCGTACAATGCTTTCCACGGATTTGTCGGAACATTGGTTGACCGCCCGTACTCTCACTAGAGACCGAGAACTGTTTCGCGGCCTCAAATTCTAGGGCACGTGCTAAAGCATCCACCAAGCGCGTTGGGTGGGCTAGAAGAAGCGCTTGCCTTGTCTCCCTGTCACGTAAGCCATCGGAGAATGTCTGTACTGCCAACCGCTCCATAACATTCTCGGGCGTAGCAGGATACGCAAGGCGAACCAGGCGGGCTACGTCGGCTTCAAACTCCTGCAGAGACTCATTTGACTTTTGAATGCGATTTTTTAGCTGTGAATGATAGACATGTTCCAAATGAGCTTGGCCGTACCTCATTTCTAAATGTCGTACCAATTGCTGATAATCTCCCTGTTCCGATGGTGACAGTGTCTGCAGGATATCAGTCGCATCTCCTCGCAGTCGACAGTCAAAGCAGTAGCCTTTTCAGCGATTGTCCATCCGTTCGCTCTCGCAGCGGCCTCAAACTGGCAAAAATAATTGGCCCAAGCGGTTTTCCGTCAAACTGTGGAGGCTTAATAACTGACTTTGAGATATACTTATTTTCGACTAGTTTCGGTGCCTCCGATGTTTCTTGACATTTTGGTGAATTGGCCTTTTCTATTTCTTGTTTTAAAATTTCGATTTTCTGTTAACATCGTCCCTCAATCTGTGCTATTTTGTCTTGTGTATCTATTATCTTTTCTTCTAATTCCCTGGGTTTCTGTTATCTTGTTGTATAAACTTTGTTCTAAATTCAATATTTTATTATTGAAGCTGGCCTGTATGTCTTTAGAATTTTCTGCGATCTTATCTTCTAAATTAACTTCCCAAGTCAGTTATTTTACTATTCAAATTGTTCAAGTTGTCGTCTAATTTTGAGGAATTCTCTGTGTCATTTTATCATTCAAACTGTCTTCTAATTTTTTGTAAGGACGAGTCAAGGTCACCTTCAGCTCAAAGCAAAATGTGTCAGGATCCTCACCTTCCTTAATCAAAACGTCTCTCAGTCTGGTTTGCAAAATACTTTTCTTTCCATCTGTCTCGCACTCTCTCTCTTCCAATATGGATTTCAGTTCGGACACTTTCAAGTCTTTCAACAATTTCTTCAGAGCCATTGTTAGTTTTTATTTTTCTTATCACACACGCCACATCTGACACCAATTGTTACGTTTTTCGTCGGTTCCGTGTGGATAGAAAGTCACAATTTATTTAAACACTATTTATTTAACACTAATTAACAAAAATAATAACGATAAAAGACTTATAGAACTATTTACAAACGATTTATAACTAAGAATTTATTTTGAATTTTAGCGCGTCAACTGTATATTTATAACTGCCCTCTCTGGCCACTGCCATAGAAAGCTTTTATACCGACAGGTAAAAGAAATCTAGAATAGTCCAAAAGATCGTTAGACGCATAGAAGGTTTTCGAATGTTCTCGTATGTACGAGTCCATTCTAGTGGGTCTCGATTCTTCTCGAACGAATGAATCATTGCGGTGTCTATGCGATGTTAAGGTCATCCGAGGGCGGGCCATATTGTGAGGTTAGGTCGAGTCCACACCGGCTCGCAACAGTATGATTAAATGAAATTGAACATATCGAAATTAATTAAATCAAATTGTTTAAGTGATATTTTAAAAAGTCAATAAATCGGAAACGGTTAGTTTGAGGTACATTGTGTGTATCTCGATTTTTGTTTAGAATTGAAGGAAAAACGGAACTATGTAATAATATACAGGGGGTTCTATTTAAAAAAATAAAACTTTTATGTGCCACGATATACGTGTATACTTAAATTTATTACTCGTCAATAGACATTTAAAATCCCTATAATTTTTGTATTTAACTTTTTGCGGTACCTCCTATATTTTACCTAATAATCGACCGTTTCCATACATAACAACGACCCTGTATAACTATTCTATATTGTTATTTGACAATTATTTTCAGTTTATTATTTAAATCTTTCTTTTCTTTTTGTTTTGATATGTTATGTATTCCTCGATAATATCACCCTTCCAAAGTTTGATAGACTTTTGACACACAACCAAAAAAAAATTTCATCAACAAAATTTGATGTGATATTTGCATGCAACGATGTTATTTACCACGACTTCCTTTCAGTTCGTTCCTTGATCAATATTTATATAAAACTGAGTTAAATGCAGAGCAAACAACAATAAAAATAATGTCACGTAGATATAACCAGGGTGCACAGGGTGTGTCAAATATGGCTCTCGCCAGTAAGAGATACAGGATGGCTTATTTTGGACCAAAGTTGCCTGTTATCGAGCCCAGTTGTAATCCGTTTAGTAATCTGTCTGTCATTTCCGAAAATATGTTTTTGGAGTGTCAAAATAAACTCGTGAAAAAATAAATACAAAAATCGGCAATTTCAGTTTTTCCGCCATACTTCCGGAAATGATAAAGATAAATTCAAAGACTAAACTTAAGATTGCCAACGAGCTCACTAACAGGCAACATTGCCTCAATTTAAGCCACCCTGTATCTCTTACCGTTTTCTAGATCCCCCAGATATAGATAGATATAGAGAACAGAAAATAGAAAATATTCCTAGTAAAAATGAATAGACACTATAGTCTGTCCAACGAGAAGATCCTTGACAGTGATAGATGTGTCTGTCATTTTAATTTCAAAGTAGTTATTTTATTTTACAAAGAAATAAGTTGGTACAACTGGAACGCCATAGCAGGATATATTTAAAATTTGATTGACAAGATGACAAGTGATTACTTCAAAATTGTATAAAACTGAAAAAATGTAATCGAGTTATTTTATTTAATAAAAACGGTATGTGTTAATACAAAACAAACAAGAACAAGGCACTACATACCAAAAAAATATAAAAAATAACTATTATTTACTTTCAAGCTTTATGAAACTACCCGCATTTATGATTATATTTATCAATATAACTTATGTACAAATACAAATTTGTAATATTCCACAGGTATAAATAAAACAACATAGGTAAATACAACAACTATTTTATTAATAATAACACCTACCAAATTTTATACCTTAAAGGTGGATTAATTACCTTTAATCTTAATTTTTTTAAACCAGTACCTTTTGACATTATTTTTCTGCACCAGTACTAAAATCCATTATTTACCTATCGTGTGATGTCGATATTTTACAGCTACTCCAGTTTTTAGTATGTGTTTAGTTTGATCCTTATATACGAAATGCACTTATCTACGACGAAATGGTATACAAACTTTATCGATGGCAACTTCATTGGTGTATAAGACTTTCTGCCTGGGCAGCGTGTATTAACCATAAACTGTGCTCTGGGCCTACAGTTAATTTTCACTCGATTTTTCCTCCACTTGACTTCAAAAGACACAAAACACACGTAATAATACGAATCAAAATGCATCATCTTTCAAAATGCAGGGTATTTAACAAAAGTTGACACAAAATTATAACCAATAATTTGGCAAGACTTTGACAAGCGTCAAAAATGACAAAAATCTAAAGGCGAGTTCATACGCATCGGCGTCCGTTTGTCGTTCATCGTTCCGTCAAACCAATAAAATTGAAATACGATCTGTCATTTTTTAAATAACCAATAAAACTGGTTAAAAAACAACAAGACACGACGCATGACGGATTTATATTTAAACCCATCCATAGATAACTTAAAAATTATTAGAAACTTTTTTTAGTAAAATAAATAGATTGGTATGGGACGTCATCTGCTTTTCTTCTGTCATCGTCTGTCGAAATCTTACCTGAGAAAAAAAACAGAGTATAGATAAAAATAAAAGTCCATGCTAGCGATTCTGTAAACATATTTTCTCTCTAGTGAGTCATCAATCGTATACAAATAGCATAGGCTAGAAGTGGAAATTTCTTGCTACGGAGCTTACAGAATCCCACCGCATGTAATTTACTTTTTCTATTAACTTTTTTTTACTCTAAATAATATAAAAGTTAATAATACTATTATATAACGTCATGAAATTGAAACATTTCCATTAGGAGAGTTACTACATCCATGAAATCGTTTTTTTACTGCTTACAGTAACGCAAGCAGTTTGTGATAAATCCGTTGCACTAATAGTTACATAAAAATGATGGACAAACATCCATCGGATTATATTGCTGACGTTTCAATTGCTGTTTTATTGTTTTACATTAATATGTTATTGTTAGAATTGATTAGGAGGTCATACTCTGTTATTGTCAACATATTTTAATCGATAGGTTTATATTGGTCGATAGTTTGGATTAGTGTATTAAAAATAAATGTATAGATATGTGCAGTTTTCAGAGACGTACGTAAACATAATGGGGTCTAATATACAGGGTGATTCACGATTCACGGTATAGAGAACCGGTGATAGGATTTTTTAAAAATTTGGATTTTGTATAAAGGCATATCTGCTCCATGTGTCTAAATTATTTTCAGCATTACAGAGTCACTGGTTCATCCTGAAAGTCGTAGCATCTCTGTTATTTTAAATGGAACACCCGGTATATTCTTACATTTTTCGAAACTGCTTTTATATCTCAATTTTTCTATTATACTAACTGGTGTCAATCTCTAATAGTTTTCGAGATCTTTAGTTAGATCTTTACTGATTTATATATGATTTTTTTTTCAGCAATTGGGACTGATTCATGCTGATCTGAAGCCAGAAAACATAATGTTGGTGGATCCTGTGCGCCAGCCCTACAGGGTGAAGGTTATCGACTTTGGATCAGCCAGTCACGTCAGCAAGGCAGTTTGCAATACTTATTTGCAATCCCGCTACTACAGGTAACGCTTTTATTATTTATTGATTTATAATATTGTTAAAATACGATACTATCAACTGACTCTCATCCCGGAATGGCCGTTTTTTGTATTCAGACATTTTTGCTCCAAAATATTGGCAGCGTTGCCAATATGGACAAATAGTCCTTAAATTTAGAGACTTTTAGAGTATGTTTAATCTATTTTTTTTATTATCGATATTTTCTAGAGCACCAGAGATCATCTTGGGTCTGCCGTTTTGCGAGGCCATCGACATGTGGTCTTTGGGCTGTGTGGTGGCCGAATTATTCCTAGGTTGGCCGCTGTACCCTGGATCGTCTGAGTACGACCAAATTCGGTACATCAGCCAAACACAAGGTACGTTTATTTTTAGATTTATAAATACCCCGCCATTTCAGTGGATGTGTTTTACCTTAAAAATTACCTAATATTTACGAGGTTGCACAGTATTTGATGTAAAGTAATCGCAAAACAATTTCCGATGCACGTGATCAACTTTGAGTGACAAGCGATGGCCACAGCGCTGCCAGGTTGTGATGGATTTATGAGATGAACTTTAATGTAAAATATTGGGAATTAATATATTTATTATATAATTTTTTAAAAATTTTTACGGTTTATTTTTAATTTAATAATTAATATTTCAGTAATTAATTTATTTATTAACAGTAGTCACTAATACTCACAGTAGCAACTTTTAAATTTAAGGCAGCAGCTGCTCACTTCAAATCGAAATAAGTAGAAATAACTTTGAAAGTGGTATAATGTGCTTACCAATCTAACTTACTTCTCTGACTGCAGTCAAGGGTAATAAAGAACCTTTATTATCACGTTCTTGTTCAAAATAGTTATGAGGAACGCTACAAGCTCTCTGCTTCAACTGTTTAAATACTTCGGCATATTTTCGATACACAATTTCAAGAAATGCATTACAAAAACTCGAAAATTTAGTTCTTAAAAGAACTGTTTGTTCTTAAAATTACAATTTTTTAAAAAAGACTATGAAAATCGACAAAAAAACGAGAATTTCTCCCAAAGATTCAACAACAACACGATATTATACAAAATAGTGACTGATATTATGATAATTGGCAAATAATAAACGACAACGTTGCTGAACACGGCGCAATGTGACCAAAACAGCGATAATAAAATTTGGTTTAAACTAATTTTTGCAGCTTTAATCTAAATAAAATATCTATTACAATCATTTGCTCTATAAAGTAAAACAAAGAGCTGCTCGTTTTCTTAAATTATACAACAAATTTAAACATTTTTTACCAAACCAAAATTGTATTTAGTCAGGTTTATAGACTTTAGTGTCAATTTCGATATGATTGATGACGTGCATCGGAAAATGTTTTGCAATTACCGTAGTTGATTAATTTTAATTTCCTGACTTATTCTGAACAGGTTTACCGACGGAACACATGCTGAACAACGCGTCCAAGACCACGAAATTCTTCTACAGGGACATGGACAGCACCTATCCCTTCTGGCGTCTGAAAACGCCGGAAGAGCACGAAGCCGAAACAGGGATCAAGTCGAAAGAGGCCAGGAAGTACATCTTCAATTGCTTGGACGATATCGGTCAGGTGAACGTGCCCACCGACCTGGAGGGCGGTCAGTTGCTGGCTGAGAAAGTGGACAGGAAGGAGTTCATCGATCTGTTGAAAAGAATGTTGACAATGGACCAGGTAGCAATATTTATTTTAATTGCAAACGTACTAATCTTCTTCCTTACTTATTTGATGTCTGTCGATGAAGGCCAAAATGACATTACTGGCAAATTTTGAAATATTTTGTTAACTTTTTCTACTAATTGAAAATTACTACCACTAATTTTTACGTTCTAAATGCTTAAACTTCATTCAGAACTTCGCAATTAGTGAAATAAATTAGTGGTTTCAATTACACTTTATACTTTTTAGTTTACGATCATTCACAATGTTTAAAAAACACAATTAAAATTAATAGAATATCCTCTGGCAACAGTTTGCGCCAGTCAGTTTTATCCATAGAGAAAGCCTAATATTTAGCTTATAAAACATTGAACTTTTGATTTCTAAGCACGATTTCTCTTGACGGAAGATAATCAAAGGCCAAAATGACATTTCTCTCGCAAATTTTGAAGTATAATTGGTGGAAAAGTCAAAAGTTTGATAATTTTTTGTACTAACTGAAAATGTCTACCACTGATTTTGACGTTCTGAATGCTTACATTGAAATTAAAGGAGCAAACTTCTACGCTAATTGAAACCACTAATTTATTCCACTATTTGCGAGGTTCTCAATGAAGCTTAAAAGTTAACTTTTTCTACTAATTGAAAATTACTACCACTAATTTTGACGTTCTGAATGCTTACACTGAAATTAAAGGAACAGAGTTCTACGCTAATTAAAACCACTAATTTATTCCACTAATTGCGAGGTTCTGAATGAAGCTTAAGTTTGTTAACTTTTTCTACTAATTGAAAATTACTACTACTAATTTTGACGTTCTGAATGCTTCATTGAAATTAGAGGAATAGACTTCTATGATAAATGAAACCACTAATTTTGAGGTTCTGAATTAAGCTTAACTACCACTAATTTTTATGTTGTCAATGATTAATTGAAATTAGAGGAACATACTTCTACGCTAATTGAAACCACTAATTTATTCCACTAATTGCGAGGTTCTCAATGAAGCTTAAAATTTAACTTTTTCTACTAATTGAAAATTACTACCACTAATTTTGATGTCCTGAATGCTTCCATTGAAATTAGGGGAACAAACTTCTACGCTAATTGAAACCACTAATTTGTTTCACTACTTGCGAGGTACTGAATGAAGCTTAAAAGTTTGGTTAACTTTTTCTACTAATTGAAAATTACTACCACTGATTTTGACGTTCTGAATGTTTACATTGAAATTAAAGGAACAAACTTCTACGCTATTTGAAACCACTAATTTATTCCACTAATTCCGAGGTTCTCAATGAAGCTTAAACATTTGTTAACTTTCTCTACTAATTGAAAATTACTACCACTAATTTTGACGTTCTGAATGCTTACACTGCAATTAAAGGAACAGACTTCTACGCTAATTAAAACCACTAATTTATTCCACTAATTGCGAGGTTCTGAATGAAGCTTAAAAGTTTGTTAACTTTTTCTACTAATTGAAAATTACTACTACTAATTTCGAGGTTCTGAATTAAGCTTAACTAGCACTAATTTTGATGTTGTCAATGATTAATTGAAATTAGAGGAACATACTTCTACGCTAATTGAAACCACTAATTTCGAGTTTCTGAACTAAGGTCTACAATAATAATAATTACAAAAAGGTTAATTTTCTAATCCTACGTTTTGAATTCGAGAGGCCAACAGCAATTCTTTGGGTTGATGATTATGTATTGTGGATGAACAACGAGCCAAGACTTTCTTGGTTTTGCATTTGCTTATCACTACTGTTCTCTGTTATTGACTGTTGTAAAAATTTTATTTATATCTTTACATTTGGTCTTTTTAATGATATTTTGTATAGAAATCAATATTATTCCTGAAATAATTGAAAGTGTTGTGTGAGAAAGAGGAGAAATGCAATTTATTATTATTTTTACATTTTTATTACTGTTTGGTGTGTTTGGTCCTCTGCAACTTATATTTATCCCACTTCAGGAACGACGCACTACCCCAGGAGAAGCACTGAACCATCCTTTCGTCCGATTGGCTCACCTGATCGACTATGCGCACTGCAACAACGTCAAAGCCAGCGTCCAAATGATGGAGGTAACAATTTACCAACACTAGGCGTTTTCTAAATATAATATTTACTGTGACTTGCCTTGTACTTAGAAAACGCACAGTATAATGTTAAATATTTGAGATTTTACTATTTTTCTTTGCTAGGTTTGTCGTCGCAACGACTACAGCACATCTTCTGCCGCTTCCCACCACCAACCAGCTCAACAGGCGCCATCTTTGGTCGCTAACTTTGTACCAAACTCTAATGGTAACGTGACGTTTACCATAAACAATCAACTGACCAACCAAGTGCAGAGGCTAGTGAGGGATAGGTCTGGATATGACAACTTGGTAAGTTGTTGATTATTTTTTTGTATTTTGGGGTGTCTTTTCTGATTGTTTTTTTTTATTTTAGTACCAGATTTACAATGGAAGAACTGTTGGACGTCAGTACGCAACCAGCGCTAGAGCAGATCCGTTCCAGCATCAATTGGTGTCCAGTATACTCTGTCCTGCAGGTAAAAAAATATTTATTTTAAACAGAAAAAAATATGGTAATCGCAAAAGAATTTACCATGCACGTGAACAATTTTGAGTGACAAGCAATGGTGACAGCGCTGCCAGATTGTGATGGATTTATGAGACGAATCTTAAAAGTGACAAACAATATATTTAATATATCATTTTTTAAAAATTTTTACGTTTTATTTTTAATTTAATAAATAATATTTTAGTAATTAATTGATTTATTTGTTTTATAGCTTATTTTACTTTTTACATATTGGCAAAAAATACTCCATTATGAAGATTATTCTAAGCGTTTTTATGGGTTATTTATTTATTTATTGAGGCATAATCTTACAACGCCATAAGTGGTCATAACAAAAAACAACTTAAAAGTACAATTTTTAAAAAAAGACTATGAAAATAGGCAGAAAACGAGAATTACTCACTAAGATTCAACAACACGATATTATATAAAATAATGATTGACATTAGGGTAATTGTCAAATAGTAAACGACAACCTTGCTGAAAACGGCGCAATGTGACCAACATAGCAATAATAAAATTCGGTTTAAACTAATTTTTGGCAGATTTAATCTAAATAAAATATCTGTTACAATCATTTGCTCTATAAAGTAAAACGAGGAGCTGCTCGCTATCTTAAATTATACAAAAAACTTAAACATTTTTGCCAGAATTTCATTTAAACTGCCCGTCAATTTCAATACCACAGCGATTTTTTTACTCATTTTCAACGAATTGTAACTTTGAAAAATATTTTTTTTTGCTGATTTTGTTGATTTTTTAGCATATTAAAGATCGTTTTTCGTAGATTGATCTGATTTTTCTAAATGTTGTATGAAATTTAGTTTTCTATGATACACAGGGTGTGAAAAAAAGGAATGTAATTTTTGTGTTGCTGCCATTTTGCCAAAAAAAAATAACTAGAATTATAAGTTTTGGGTATAGCTAAGCCTAATATCTGGGGACGTATTTGGAATTTTTACGATAACTCATCTGGAATAAAAGATAATCAATTTTTACTCTAACTTGTATTTTTTCTACCTTTCTTAAGAGATATGCTAACAAAACTGAAATGAACTTTTCGTTACTTTTACAACGTGAAATTAAAAAAAAAATGATTAAACTAACGCAGTTTAATACAGGATCTGTTAAAAATGCGACCAGCGAAAAAGTAAAATTATTATTTTAACCTTATGGGCTGTTTGGTTTGGAATATTAAAAAAATAATTTTACTTTTTCGCTGGTCGTATTTTTAAGAGATCCTGTATTAAACTGCGTTAGTTTAATCATTTTATTTTAATTTCACATTGTAAAAGTAACGAATATCTATAATTTTGTTAGCATATCTCTTAAGAAAGGTAGAAAAAATGCAAGTTAGAGTAAAAATTGATTATCTTTTATTCCAGATGAGTTATCGTATTTTTTCACACCCTGTATATCATAGAAAACTAAATCTCATACAAAATTTAGATAAATCAGATCAATCTACGAAAAACGATCTTTAATATGCTAAAAAATCAACAAAATCGGTCCATTTTTTTCAAAGTTACAACTCGTTGAAAATGAGTAAAAAAATCGCTGTGGTATTTGACGGCCAGTTTAGTCAGGTTTATAGGCTTTAGTGTTAATTTCGATATGATTGATGAAGTGCATCGGAAAATGTTTTGCGATTACAATATACAAATATTTATTATTGACACCTTGCTCCGACTTCCATTTTCTATTAACGCTTTAACGATAAAAACATATACTTTTAAGTATATTCTATATACAGAGTGTAAAAAATAGTACAAATAAAAATAAAAGTACTTTTTCAAGGGGTCTTAATTTCCTCGAGAAGCATCTTAGGGTATACGTTCACAAGAACTCTTTGTTTTATTTTTATCTATAGAATCATCCGCAGAAGTTTGGTACACTGTTTTACACCCTATATGCATGGTGTGATAAAATTCGCAAATCTTTTTTTTGAAATTATTGAGTCAAAAATTATACTCTATTGTTTCCCGTACTCTATTTTGCACTGATTTTTAGGTTACCAAGGAATGGGCGGCTCCCCTGCCAAGCACGTGACCGTAGTGCAGCAACCCCCTCTACAAATACAACCTCCCATTTTGAGCCAACCTGGCCAACAACAGTATGTTCCTGTCAGCGTGGTTGAGCCGACTGGGCGACAAATGTTGTTAACTGTAAGCACATTAATAGTTTAAAACGTACAAAAAATGTTTATTAATTTTTTTTTTGGGATTTTTTAGAACGCCGTTCAAACTTCTTGGCCTACCAACCGCCAACAGATGGCCATAGTACCGTCTTGGCAGCAGATACCGCCACAGCACGCAGCGATACAGCAGCCTTTACTTTCAGAAGCTGAATGGGGTAGACCTCTTTTGGTAGATTCGTCAGCTATATTACAGGTAACATTTTTAATTCAGTAGTAGTTCAAATGACTCACATCGATATTAATATCAGTAGTAGTTGTCATGTTAATACTTTGAATAAACAGACTAAGGAAGGAGTATATCAAAAATCTTAGATCCACCGGGATGGGGCTCAAATATGGCCAACTTAAATTCCGGTTTATCAGTGCCGTTCTAATTTTATTTAAAAAGTTTAAATATATGATATGTAGACGTGGGGTAGACTCGATAATTTATTGTTTCATTTTACGTTGTGAATAAATGTTGGTAGTTATTAAAATTGTTATAAAAATATATAATTCTAATAAAAATAGATAAGTTATAATAATTATTTATTAACACAAACATCCGGTACGCTACTGAAGCAGGTAAGTCAAATTGACGTATCTAAATTTGTCCAACGACAAGATCCTTGACAGTGATAGATGTGTCTATCATTTTAATTTTAAAGTAGTTTATTTTATTTTACAAAGAAATAAGTTGGTACAACTGGAATGCATAGCAGGAAATTAATATATTTAAAATTTGACTGATAAATGATTACTTCAAAATATTATGAAAAAAAAATTGTTTAAAACTGAAAAAATGTAATCGAGTTATATTATTAAAAAAAAACGGTATGTGTTAATACAAAACAAACAAGAACAAAACACCACATACCAAAAAAATATAGAAAACAACTATTTCTTACTTTCAAGCTTCAAAAAACTTCCCGTATTTGTTATCATATTTATCAATATAACTTATGTACAAATACAAATTTGTAATATTCCACAGGAATAAATAAAACAAACCTTTTATTAGTAATAACACTTAACAGATTTTATGTCTTAAAGGTTGATTAATTAACTTTAATCTTAATTTTTTTAAACTAGTACCTTTTGACATTATTTTTCTGCAGTACTAAAATTCATTATTTGCCTATCGAGTGATAGGTGTGTTAGTACGATAGTGTTTAGTACGATCCTTGTACCATATACGAGATGTACTTACTACGACGAGATGGTATACAAACTTTATTGATGGTAACTTTATTGGTGTATAAGACTGTCTGCCTGGGCAGCGAGTATTAACTATAAACTGTGCTCTGGATGTACAGTTAATTTTCCCTCGATTTTTCCTCCACTTGACTTCAAAAGACACAAAACACACCTAATAACACGAATCAAAATGCATAATCTTTCAAAACGCAGGGTATTTGACATAAGTTGACACAAAATTATAACCTATAATTTGGCAAGACTTTGACAAGCCTCAAAAATCTAAAGGCGAGTTCATACGTATCGCCGTCCGTTTGTCGTTCAGCGTTCCGTCAAACCAATAAAATTGAAATACGATCTGTCATTTTTGAAATAAACCAATAAAACTGGTTAAAAACAGCAAGAGACGACGCATGACGGATTTATATTTAAACCCATCCATAGTTAACTTAAAAAATATTAGATACTTTTTTTAGTAAAATAAATAGATTGGTACGGGACGTCATCTGCTTTTCTTCTGTCGAAATCTTACCTGAGAAAAAAAACAGAGTATATACTGCTTCCTTAATATTTTTATTCAAAGTATCAATAGTAATTAATAATAGTTCAAATGACCCATATAAATATTAATCAGTGTTAGTTCAAATAGGTATTATATATAATTGAATTCTACAAACTAATTTAATGAACGATTGCTGTAGGTATTTTACCATTGTTTATATCCGTTGTTAACAGGAACAGAGACCAGTATTTCCGGTAGATGTCACCACTGAAGTTTTTAATCCCGCGCTAGTTGAACATACTGGCTCGTGGAGTACCAGCAAACGTAGTTCCAGACCTCATCACGCTCAGCAACCCGCTCCGCATCATAGTCACCATCATTTAATGGTGTGTGAGATTTTTCAGTATTTTTTGAATAATTTAAACTATAGTCTATAGGAAAATCAATAAATGTTGGCGTACACTTCATCAAAATATTTGACCAATGCACTTCGCAACGTTGCCACACAATTTTTTACCTTGACTTTTGACAAGTCATTCATAATATATCAAAGTAACTTTCAACATAAGTCATTTGAATTCAAATATAAATACAGGGTCGCTTTTATGTATGGAAACGGTAGATTATTGGGTAAAATATAGGAGGTACCGCATAAAGTTAAATAGTCTATTGGCGAGTAATAAATTTATGTATACAGGGTTGATCATAAAGTCGTGGCGCATTAAAGTTTCATTTTTTTAAATAGAACTCCCTGTATATTATTGCATAATTCAATTCTTCCTTCGATTCTAAAAATCGAAATACGCACAATGTTTGAACATATCACTTAAACAATTTGATTTAATTTATTTCGATATGTTCATTTTCGTTAAATCATGCCATTCTGCTGAAACCGTGATACTATTGTAATAGGTTTTTAAATGCCTATTAGCTACTAGTAAATTTAACTATCCAGGGTCGGTCATAAAGTTGTGGCACATCAAACTTTTTTTTTTAAATGAAACCCCCTGTATATTATTGCATATTTCACTTCTTCCTTCAATTTTAGGCAATAAGCGTAATACACAATGTACATAAATTGAAGAATTGAAATGTTAAACGAAAATTTTGTAATTTCCAAACTTGATATTATCACAGATTATAAACTTTGTTTTTTCGTTATTGTTTTTCGTGGTTCCAATTTTCGGAATCGGACACTAGTTAGGTTACTAGTTTGCGCACATAGCACGCCCACTTATGGCCTCTAAAATTGTGCACAGCGCCTGACCGGCACAGTTATTAGAGAGATATCGGAAAACCGAATAGCGTCATGCAGTATTTACGCGTACCTTATCATGGTTACGATATGGGCGAGTCAATTTTTAATGCAACACCCGCTAATAACGTTACCGTCTGACGTAATTTGCGGATCAATTACACCAAGCGCTATTTCTAAATAACGTTTAAAAATTGCTTAAATGGGCATGTGCGGGTATTTGACAACAGGGGCCGGGCCGGCGAGATCTTTTATTTTAGGTTATGTGAATTGTTTTGAATTATTGCTTTAGTTTTATTAGATAATTTGATGTTTAAGTAGCTGGGATTAGTTTTAATTAAATAAATATGGCCCAAAATATGGATTCCACCTTTTCCAATATTAAAGAACCTATAAAGAGGCTTAGGTTTACAGCAGATGACGACTTAGCCCTTCTAAGAGAATTTGTTGCTTGTTGCCCTAAACCCACTGGCAGACGTTGAACAATGAAGCACTGGAAATAAGCACTTTAGCCCTTTGGTTTTAAAATACCTAGTAAACAAAACAATTTCAAAGTTTTAAATTCAAAGTTAGGTTAAGTTTAAACAGCGGACGCGACGCGAACAGAATTCTTTCCGATCCGATAACCAGCGTTGTTACAAGGGCAAAAATTTTTGTACTATAAATGGTATCGAAATTGTACTTTTTTAAGTGGGATTGTACATTTTTGATGCAAAAATGTGGGGTCATGTGATCTCGCTATTTACCTTTTTACCAAGTTTTGGTACGTAGGGTGCATCCAACACTATCCTAAAAACAGCGGAACGGCGTATTGGCTTAACGACCTTGATTCGATTTCCTACAATTCTATTGGCTGAAATTTTTGCCAGGTGAATTTGACAGATAAAATTTCTGACAGATGAATTTTTCAGCCAATAGAATTGCTGGAAATCGATTCAAGGTCGTTACGCCGATCCGCTTTTTTAGGATAATGTGGATGCACCCTCACAGAATTATACACCATATGCTGTCCTCCTTTCACGCAGTTGAGCAGCTCTGAACTGTTCAAGAACGCAATACTCTCCCTCCATTCAATTGAGTCATAAAGTTCAGAACTGGTTCCGCGCCATATGGAGGCACCAGGCTATCTCGCACAGCTCCTTTCAGAACCTTCTGAGCAGCCCAGGGCGTAAAGCTTTGGAACTTGAAATTCGCAAATAGAGGACAGCAATACAGAAGCTACAAAGAGCTTTGAATAGCATTGGTTAAATGGGAACTAATTGCGTGACGTCACGTTTGACATCGGGACACAATAGATCTCTAAGGTCGCAGTGATTAGCCCCCCTCCTACTCACCGCACGGATATCAAACTTACGTTTGACATCCGTGCGGCTTGAACAGCATTTCAAGTGATGTATAATTCTGTGCCTCTGCTCCTAGCAACCTGCATTTCAAATCCACGCATCGCGTATCACCGTTCGTCTAAAAATATGTACGTGGGTTTAAGTTTGGGTTTGAGAAGTAAGAATTGTACATTTTTTCTTGCAATTGTACCTATGTACTCCTTGACTATCAAGTGTACCCAAAATAGTACAGTTGTACCTATTGTAACAACACTGCCGATAACTATAAATGAAGAGAGTTAATACCACCTCACGTGAAGGAAGTAACACCTGGCCTTATTAACGTCCATCCACGCTATTCGGTTTAGCGATATCTCTCTATTACGCTGTTTATTGTTATTTTACGCGAGTTTATTTTTGCGCACAGGATATTTTACTCGTTTGCACATCGTTATAAAAAACAATTTTCGTACCACGAATTAGGGATAAGATTTTTATCTGTATACATAGAGTATACCTAATCTGTGATTATAGTTTCGACGTTTTTGATGATGGCACACCAACTTTTATTGATTTCTCTATAGATACAAATCCATGCTTAGCTTGAAATGCAACAAGATTAACTTCCTTAGCCAACCTGAACCTTTCTATTGTCTTCTGTCCTTCGCTGTAGAATATCAAAGCTATTTGACGATGTACTATCATTTTCTCTGTTTTTTTTAAAGGTCCCAACGCATCATAGATCGCAGCACGATAAAAAGGAACAGACTCAATTGTCACCTGTCAAAAAGAGGGTTAAGGAGGGCACTCCTCCGTCTGAACAGTTGTACAGTGTTGGAAGCAGCAGAAGGAATCACAGTCCGAACGTTCCTTCGCATTGGCATAATAATGGGCATCATCAGGTAAGTTTTAGAATAATCGTTTTTAGAAGATTCGAAAATACTAAAAGAATGCGGTGTTAAAATATATTATAAGCCACAAATTAAAATTTTCTTGATTTATTTTTTCTGAAAGAGTGGCGAACAATCTTAGATATTTCGGCAAAAAAATAAATGTTACACTGTTAGACATAATTGGAATGAATCCGTCAAAAGTCACTTTTACTGTTCTTAGTAAAAACCATGGAAACCAAACAGTCTTCCTGAAGCAGCGTTGTCACAGTTACTTCCGTAATAAATTTTAATTTAAATGAATTAGACAAGTAAAAATAATTTAAAATGTATAATCTATATATTTTTACCTTTGAATAAGAAGACTAACAAAGGAGCATATCAAAAATCTTAGGGCCTCAAATATGGCCGACTTAAATTCCGGTTTATCAGTGCCGTTCTAATTTTATTTAAAAAATGTGAAACTATGATGTAGGGTAGACGTGGGGTAGACTCAATATATTTTTTTATTTTACGTTCTGAATAAATGTTGGTAGTTATTAAAATTGTTATAAAAATATAATATTCTAATAAAAATAGGTAAGTTATAATAATTATTTATAACCACAAACATCAGATGAAGCAGGTAAGTCAAATTGACGTATCTAAATTCTTTGACATCTAATCTTTGACAAGTAGTAAATAAAATCAAAAATGCAAGAAAAAATATATATTTAGTTAATTTAAGTGAATTTCATAAATGATCGGTTTACTACACGTATGTATATTATATAGTCACTTACTAGCGAAATGTTATTCCATTATTTCACTCGATTTTTGCCGAGATCTACCGCACGCTACACAACCAACTATTTTAGGGTCTTTTTCGATAAATCGCGATAGTGTCACTGTTAATTTAAGTTCTGCCACAATTTCCATCTAGATTTACTACCTTTATACAACTATCAGTAGTAGAATAAATAATAAATAACATAAAATAAGTTCCGTAAAGAGTGACAAATCCACAAAATTTCAAATCAAATTCAAATGTGTCAAATGAATCGTCAAACAGAACTGTCAAGGATCCCCACCCTAGAGTCCTTTTTCCGCCCACCATGCATGAATACATGGATAGCATTATGCTCCTTCCTTAGTCTTCTTATTCAAAGATTTTTACTAAAATGATATACCTACGGTAATCGCAAAACAATTTCCGATGCACGTGATCAACTTTGAGTGACAAGCGATGGCTACAATGCTGCCAGATTGTGATGGATTTATGAGATGAATGTTAATGTAAAATTGGGAAACAATATATTTATACCATTTTTTAAAGATTTTTACGTTTTATTTTTAATTTAATAATTAAAATTTTAGTAATTAATTGATTTATTTGTTTTATAGCTTATTTTACTTATTACATATTGGCAAAAACTAATCCATTATGAAGATTATTCTAAGCGTTATTAGAAATAACTTTGAAACTGGTATAATGTGCTTACCAATCATACTTACTTCTCTGATTGCAGTCAATGGTAATAAAGGACCTTTGTTATTATGTTCTCGTTCAAAATAGTTTATCAGGGAAGCTACAAGCTCTTTGCTTCAGCATATTTTCAACACACAATTTCAAGAAAAACAATACAAAAACTCGAAAATTTAGTTCTTCAAAGAACTGTTTGTACTTAAAAGTACAATTTTTAAAAAAATGACTACGAAAATAGGCAAAAAACGAGAATTACTCACAAATATTCAACAACAATACAGTACTATACAAAATTATGACTGACATTATAATAATTCTCAGAAATCTGTCACCATCGATTTCCGTTGAAAACGACATTTGATCGAGAGATGTCTTTGGTGTCAAAACTAAGAAGACGATTATAATATCCATGGTATAATATCCTGTAATGTTTGTTTAGGTATCGTCCCAAGACCACCATACTCAGACCCACAACAACTACCACACCCACCACCACCACCATCATCACCACGGCACCGGGAGCGGTAAGAACCAGCACACCATCACCATCAACGACACGCCCTCTCCGGCCGTCAGCGTCATCACCATTTCGGACAGCGAAGACGAGGGATCGCACGGAAAGAAAACGGTAAGCTTGTGCCATAGATTAAATACAAGGTTTTTCTTAAGCGCGCTCCACACGCAGTGACTTATCGTACGATTTGTTTGCGTACGATAAGTCATACAAAACGTTCAGGATGAAACGTACAGACCTATTTGTGTCCATAATATAGTGTTTTGTCGTTTCTATTACATCATCAAGGAGGAAACACTGTTGTGCTTAGTTTTTGCTATTTGTTTAAAAAAAAGCTAGTTACTTACTTCGTTGACGAGTATTTGACACGCATCAGAAGATGGTTACGCAAGGCGTTTTCTTTCATGAGCTTTTCTGTGACTGAAAAGCCCGATACGTGATGTTATCTCTCTTCCGCACTCCAGACATTCAAAAATTTCATTACTTTGTTGCCTCTTTACTTTTTGGTTGCCGCTGTTAACTGAGTTTACAACCCTTCTCCATTGAGTTCTATTGTGAGCTGCTTTTTCCCACTCGTTCTGCATGCTTATCCCCTTTAAGATTTCATGGAAAATATCCTTGTATCCTTTGAGTTGTCCACCCGGTTTCTTCTTAATGCTAATGCTAAATTGTAATCAGATTAAAATATTCAAATACGTTTCAGGTTCATACTAACACAGTAGCAAACCAGCAAAGTCAGACCAACCAATCACATCATGCGTCAAGCAGAAAAAATGTAATCAGTTGCGTCAGCGTTCAGGATAGTGACAACGAAGAAAGAAGTTCATCAAAGGTATACCAAAATATATAATCAAGCACCTTATCTATATTTGTAATTGTTAATATTTAATAATAGAAATAATAGTCTTTAACAAATGTTTCTATTGTTAATGTTAATTCTATTTAAAAAAATGAAACTTTATGTGCCACGCCTTTATGACAGACCCTGTATACTTAAATTTATTACTCGCTAATAGATAAATCCTATAACTTTTTCATTTAACTTTTTGCGATATTTTGCCTAATAATCGACATTTAAAAAAAAAGAAATTAAACAACAGTGAAATACAAAAATACAAATAATATGTACAATTAAAGAAAAGATTTTTACAAAAGGACTTTACAGAATTCGTTTATGTTTTTTCTAGATTCATAACACTCAGCATTCTTCACACCATCAGTCTCAACAGCAACAGCCTTATAACGCTCAGCCTGTCATCAAGAACGAACCATCCTGTCACAGCACGCCGCACTACGCTTCGCAAAAGAAACGTCTACTGGCCAAGGCTCAGTCTGAGTGTATGCTGAACGTTGCTACTAAACAAGAACCAGGTAATTATTTTAAAAATTTCAGATCATTCCATATCCATTCTTTAATAAAACAACAAATCTGAAAAATAATTATTTTTACCTACCCGGCTTTGATTTGCACTGCACGCCACTGACCATTATGCTACTTTGTCGCAGGTACCGAATACTATGGCCAACATTGCAGTTCGGCCTGTAAGGAACAACCCAGCTCAGCACAATCTTATTCACACTATTCAGGGTCCCATATGGGTGGACACGACCAACAGAACTACCAGTCATCCAGTGGCGCCGAGAAAAGGGTCAGCTGGGCGCCTCCAGTCGCTCATAACACTTCGTCGAGGTTTGTACTATTTTTTGCGTAGGTACTAAACAAAACCAGAACATCTGCCTATAACTTACTGCATACCAATCTTGGACCCTAAAATTCTTTTATTTACAAATACAGCAATTTCACCTTTGTCCCCTATAGTCTGTCCAACGACAAGATCCTTGACAGTGATAGATGTGTCTGTCATTTTAATTTCAAATAGTTTATTTTATTTTTCAAAGAAATAAGTTGGTACAACTGGAACGCATAGCAGGAAATTAATATATTTAAAATTTGACTGACAAGTGACCTTCAAATTTTTGTGAAAAAGACTGTATAAAACGCAAAATATTTAACACAAAACGGTATCTGTTAATAAAAAAACAAACAAGAACAAAACACCACATACCAAAAAAAATATGAAATGAACTATTTCTTACTTTCAAGCTTCATGAAACTTCTCGCATTAATGATTATATTTATCAATATAACTTATGTACAAATATGAATTTGTAATATTCCACAGGAATAGATAAAACAACATAAATAAAACAAACTATTTTATTAATAATAACACTTACCAAATTTTATACCGTAGGTTGATTAATTAACTTAATCTTAATTTTTTAAACCAGTACCTTTTGACATTATTTTTCTGCAGTACTAAAATCCATTATTTATCTTTAGTGATATTTTACAGCTACTCCAGTTTTTAGTATTTGTTTAGTATGATCCTTCTACCATATACAAAATGCACTTATCTACGACGAGATGGTATACAAACTTTATTGATGGTAACTTTGTCGGTGTATAAGACTTTCTGCCTGGACAGCGACTAACTGTGCTCTGGGTTTACAGTTAAAAGACACAAAACACACGTAATATCACGAATCAAAATGCATCATCTTCCAAAACGCAGGGTATTTGACATAAGTTGTCACACAATTATAACCTATAATTTGACAAGACTTTGACAAGCCTCAAAAATCTAAAGGCGAGTTCATACGCATCGGCGCCCGTTTGTCGTTCATCGTTCCGTCAAACCAATAAAATTGAAATACGATCTGTCATTTTTGAAATAAACCAATAAAACTGGTTAAAAACAACAAGAGACGACGCATGACGGATTTATATTTAAACCCATCCATAGTTAACTTAAAAAATATTAGAAACTTTTTTTAGTAAAATAAATAGGTTGGTATGGGACGTCATCTCCTTTTCTTCTGTCATCGTCTGTCGAAATCTTACCTGAGAAAAGCAACACAGAGTATAGACCATTTTGATGTGTTTATTTAAATTATTGTGGATCGCTCTGTATGTTGTTCTTCACAATTTTCTTCAAAATAACAACCGTTTGTGAAATGGTTTTTTTGTCTTTCTAGCAGCCATTCGAGACGCCATTCGGCTGTGCCCGTGGTCAATTTGAGAGAGTATAACGTGGCGCCGCAAGCGCACGGTGACTACGTCCAGCCGCCCGCCGCGCACTCTAGCGGCCGAGACCAGCACTTGCTAGCTCCGCCTGGAAAAGGATGGGGACCACCACAGGCTATACCTCAAACCTACCGGTAAGTGATCAACGTAGTTGTATTTTTTTAAACTTTAACTGTCTTGTTAGAGTTAATATGTAATGTACATAATATATTATAGTAGATAACAGTATATAACTTGAGATATTTAATTTGCATCGAAGATATGTGTGGTTGAGGTATTAATCATTTTTATAATTCGTTCTTATACCAAAGCGGCCACAGACTTAGAATTTATTATACAGTGCTTTTATTTTAATTGTGTGCTATTCTAAGTGGAATGGCCAATGCTATCTGAATGAATATTATGCTGCAATACTCCCATTACAAAAAAAAATATTTGTTTTAAATGAAATTATTTTGTTTATATAAAAGTGTTATAGCGTTTTTTAAACCACTACCACTGCGAACGGCAGCTTTTCATCGGAGAGCAGTCGTGGATAAGGTATTTCACTGGAAAGAAAACTAATTAATAACAATTAACAAAAGAATATAGATATTGGGCGCCAGGCATGTACAGAGAAAGAAAACACAGTTGTATATTACTTAAAACTAATGACTATGTTTATTCATGATGTTCTTTGATGGTAAATAACCAAAGACATTATAAAAATAGACCGAACATCTCATTCATAAATACTCGTTGGAAGTGTATCAAACAGAAGAGACAGAGAAGTCTAAAATTTCCGACCCCGGCAACTAGGCGCATTTGGATTGTTCTAATGGCCAGTGGCGTATCGTTTTTTGGAAGAAATTTAATTAGTAAAGTAAAAGTACAGCAATTAGTGCAAAATTTTACTCCATATTAATATAAACTACATTAACACTTTTCGTCAGATGAGTTTGTTATAAGATCTAATATAATAATATAATTAATATCCCATATATACTTATATTGAAACGTTAGTAGGTAGTTTTCGAAAATCGCTCCAACGTCGATTTTCAATTTAAACTTTCAGTTACTTCTATATAAACTTTCAGTTACTTCTATATAAACTTTCAGTTACTTTTGAATATTTACAGGGTGACTCAAGTTTCTGAAACAGTTCTATATTAGGTTTGTGGTTGGTGACTTTTCTTTCAATTTTTATTTCAGAATATGGAGGCAGTGGTAAAACACATTTTAGACATTTTTGTAAACATAGGTGGTCGGAACATATTTTCAAACTAAAGTTGTAGATTTGCCATTAAATTTCCATTCCAGAAATACCTAGGGTTGCCACCTGTCTTTTTGAAAAGGACAGTCCTTTTGGAATAACTCTGTCCTTTTGACTTAAAAAGTCATTTTTACTTACGTATTTTCCCTGAGAAAATTACCTACGGCAAACAGAAATATTCTTTTCGTCCAAATTTAATTATAGATGTTATAAAACTTATAAATAAATTTTTCTTGTTTAGAATGGGCAACATTATTTAGAACTTCCCGTTTAATCTCAAATGATAGTTTAGGTTTTAGTTTTATCTTTTTTGATCTTAAAAAGAACTTTTCAAAATTAGTAATTAGTAACGATTTAGTTAGTTCGCAATCGATAGCTTCCTGTGAAGTACTGTGTAATAGTTGTTTAATCTTGTATTATTAATAACTTTTCCTTTACCTAAAATCAATATTTAATGAGATAATTATGTTTTTTTGAAAATATAAGACAAGATTTGACTTTCGGTCTTCTTCTTGTATTATGATGGCTCTGATAAGAGGCAATTACCTTTTAGGCTCTCAATAGAAGGCATTTATCATTAAAAGTATCAAATCTATGTGGTACAGTATGGGATTTCTGTCGCATAATAATGAATATTACGTTTATTTACAAACCCATTACTTTTAAAGGTAGCTTCACCAGACAATCAAATTTTAGTTCTAGGAAGAGGTATTTGTACGGTGGTAAAAAATTGTCTAAACAAGGCCGAAGGGGCAGATATAGTAAAGCAGTAAAATGTAAAAAAGCTCGGGTAAACACCTTTGTTTATTTGTTGAGCAAAATTCCTTTAGAATATCGTATATAATGACCAAAATATGACGCAATTTTAAGAAAAAAAATGTCACTTTCTGGCTTATAATAAAGTTTGAAATGCAACGTTTATATTCAAATTTGTTATGATCTACAACAGTTAGGCAATAATTGAGACGAATTATAATTCAATTACCGGCTACTACGTTCTTGTTTTAATAGATCAAAATTCAACAAATATAATTAGAAATTACTTTAATTGTAAGGGGCTCCCTTGTAGGACGCCTATGTACAACTACGGCGGAAATTTATACCTACCTATGAAAAGACAAATTCGGGTAATTTGAGCTTATTTTTACACACATTTGACACTGTCGTACCATATTCAAAATTCGCAGATTCAAAAGTACGTTAAACAAAAATAAAAACTACTGAAAAGTTCACTTTGGACTTGATTCCTACTTCAAACACACCGTAAGCTAAACGTAGTACGCTATAACGGACCAAGGGCCGTCGCCAACAAATTATGCAGCAAGATTTAAATTACCATTTCTAAAAGTCGGGTTTCCAAAAGTGAGGTTAAAGCGCAGAGAGGCGCCTTGAAACGATCTTGACAGCCCTCCACAGAAGCAGTGAAACGATATCAGGGTTGTTGATTAGAGAACGTAAAAATTACGCCAGGCGCGTCAAGTAAATTATCAGGCCTGAGCGATACGGAATCCGGTGATGATACGCCAGACATCATATATTATATATGAAAGACATGTAACGACCTAAAAACGTTACAATGTTCTATACTATGTTGTAAACTGTGTGTTCACAGTTAAAATAAAAGCACTGTATATTATATACAGAGTGTGGTCAAAAAACATGTACTATCTCTCGTTGGGAGATTCCTCACATAGGTCGGATTCTGCTTTGTTTCGTAGCTACAGGGTGTTAAAATCTTAATATTTTTCCCATTTTCCAAGTACTTTTAGGGATTCGAATGAAATTTTGAGGATACAAGTTACTATAAATGTGACAAATTTAAAAGCTAAAAAAGTGTCTTTTTTTTTGAAAAATATTCCAGTGATAACCCATATGCATGTCCGTGATGAATTTATTGACACTTTTTTAGCATTAAGTAACTTTTACCCTCAAAATTTCATTCGAATCACGAACAGTACTTGGAAGAAAATTATAATAAATCGAAAAATTATTAAGATTTTAACACCCTGTAGCTATGAAAGACAACAGAATCGGACCTACGTTGATACGAAAAATAAATCTTATTTTTACGTGAGGAATCTCCCCACGAGAGATGGCACATGTTTGTTGAAACACCCTGTATACACTGACAATGATAAAGATAAAAACAATAAAGATCTGAAAAATAATAAAAAGTTGAAGTTATAGTCGAAAAACACCCGGTATAATGAAAAAAATATTTTTAATTAAATTTTGTATTTCACATTATTTATTTCAAGTATGTCAATTAATTTTTTTCTGCGGAATTGTCAACAATAACTTATATGTAAAAAAGCTTTAGTCTTAATACCTTACAACGGGCCCTTACTATAACATAAAACGTTAAGGTAAACTGTCTAATCTTGGTGCAAACAGTCACAGGTATACGAATATAGTTGCATGACCGTTCTCATTATCCCCTTCCCTCCATTTCCCCCTTCTAGACACGGTACGGCGCACTTATCGCCGCAACCGCTGGCCGCAGCGCCGCGCCTGTCCCCCCAGCACCCCCTAGCGGCGGCCGCGGGCCAACCGCTCTACCACCAGACGGAGCTGTACAGGAGGCCCGTGTACGTGACCACAACGCAGCCGGCGGCATACTTGTCGGCCACTCACCAGGTGGCGCCTGCTGGGTAAGTAGTTTATCAAGCGGGAATATTAATGAGAGGTGTGGTTTTATATGTATAAAAATGCTACATCGAATCATATTAATTGCAATTAGAAAATTTTCTTTGACCGTTATTATCGTTTCATCTTTGTTGAAAACGTATCAGGCATATTCAATTATTGGCTTGGTGTATTCTCCGCCGGTGCTGTCCACCATTGGAGAATATCGTAAATAACTGATATACAGGGTGGTTCGAACTGTATTCCGGAAACTTCGGAATCATGTTCTAAGAGTGTTAGGAAGTGTAATTTACCGAGTCATACAAAGTGTTCAAAATTCTGTGCCAAAGTTTCTAAAATATAAACTACTTATTCTTGTTTTTTTAACGCAACACCCTGTATATTATTTCTTTGTTAAATGGAGAATTAAAAAAGGAACTTTTAAAAAAATATTTAACGGTCTCGCATATTCATGGTGTTGATTTTTGCCTGGTATTTTTATTTATTTTTTTTAATCATTTTATGCATTTGTCAATAATTGCTGACTGATTGTCAGGGATAATAATTGCTTGATATAGTGTGCTTATACATATAAAACTATATCTAATCTCGACATTGCATTTTGAAGCTTTTTTTTTCTTTTTCTTTTTGCTGTGTGCTTTTTTTATTTATTACTGCATTTTATTTCCTTTTTTTCTTTTTTGATGCACTGTTTAGTACTATTTTTAATCTGCACATAAATTAATATTTGAAAACCTTCATATTTAGACATTTCCCTTCTGCATATTAATAAAAAAAAACGTTGATTATTTGATATCATACGATCGAGAAAAACACGCCATCATAGATGGCCGGCAAATGAAGATCACTATCATTTTAAATGTAAAATTACTTGGAGAATGGTATCGATAGACATTTCCAAGCCAACTCGAGGGCGTTTTTTTCTCGATTACGTGATATTTCATCTTTTAAGATATTCAATTAAAATTTCACACAATTAACAAATGCATGTTTCTTTTTATTTGCCGCTTTTTGTTTTTTGCTTACACCTAAACTTTCTTTTCAGGCTTTCACCCTCACGCTTCACTAACCTTTCTTACCGGCCCGCTCAAGATTCTCATTCTGATCACGTCGCCACTGTTAATTTCCATTCTATTCGCGATCTGATTAAATGCGGTACCGACACAGTTGATATCGTTCACGCTGATTCTGAGCATGATCTGAGTCAATGCAGTACCGATAAAATTTATGTTCACGCGGATTCTGCGCTAGATCTTAGTCGATTTGGTACTGATCATGTCGATACCGTTTATTTTGATTCTGAGCACAATCTGAGTCGACGTGGTACCGATAACAAGTATGTTTACGCTGATTCTGAGCAAGATCTGAGTAAATGCGGTACTGATCATGTCGATACCGTTCATTTTTATTCTGAGCGCGATCTGAGTCAATGCGGTACCGATAAAATTTATGTTCACGCGGATTCTGCGCTAGATCTGAGTCAATTTGGTACTGATCATGTCGATACCGTTTATTTTGATTCTGAGCGCGATCCGGGTCAATGCGGTACCGATAAAATCTATGTGTACGCTGATTCTGAGCAAGATCTGAGTCAGTGCGGTACCGATAAAATTTATGTTCACGCTGATCCTGCGCAAGACCTGAGTCAATTTGATACTGATCATGTGGATACCGTTCATGATGATTCTGAGCGCGATCAGAGTCAATGCGGTACCGTTAAAATTTATGTTCACGCTAATTCTGCGCAAGATCTGAGCCAACTTGGTACTGATCATGTCGATACCGTTCATTTTGATACTGAGCGCGATCTGAGTCAATGCGGTATCGATAAAGTTTATGTTTACGCTGATTCTGAGGAATATCTGAGTCAATGCGGTACCGATAAAATTGATGTTCACGCTGATTCTGCGCAAGACCTGAGTCAATTTGCTACTGATCATGTCGATACCGTTCATTATGATTCTGAGCGCGATCTGAGTCAATGCGGTACCGATAAAATATATGCTCACGCTGATTCTGCGCAAGATCTGAACCAATTTGGTACTGATCATGTCGATACCGTTCATTTCGATTCTGAGCGCGATCTGAGTCAATGCGGTATCGATAAAATTTATGTTCGCGCTGATTCTGAGCAAGACCTGAGTCAATGCGGTGTCGATAAAACTTATATTCGCGGTGATTCTGAGCAAGATCTGAGTCAATGCGGTACCGATAAAATTTATGTTCACGCTGATTCTGCGCAAGACCTAAGTCAATTTGGTACTGATCATGTCGATACCGTTCATTATGATTCTGAGCGCGATCTGAGCCAATGCGGTACTGATAAAATTTGTGTTCACGCTGATTCTGCGCAAGATCTGAGCCAATTTGGTACTGATCGTGTCGATACCGTTTATTTTGATTCTGAGCGCGATCCGAGTCAATGCGGTACAGATAAAATTTATGTTTACGCTGATTCTGAGCGCGATCTGAGTCAATGCGGTACCGATAAAATTTATGTTCACGCTGATTCTGCGCAAGATCTGAGCCAATTTGGTACTGATCATGTCGATACCGTTCATTTTGATTCTGATCGCGATCTAGGTCAATGCGGTACCGATAAAATTGATGTTTACGCTGAGTCTGTGCAAGATCTGAGTCAATTTGGTACTGTTCATGTCGATACTGTTCACTTTGATTCTGATCATGATCTGAGTCAATGTGATAACGATAAAATTGATAACGTCCGCTTTGAGTCTGAGTATAGTTTTGTTCAATTTGATACTGATCGTGATAGTATCGATGGTGATTTTGAGCTCCATACTCCTCCTTACAATACCAGTCCATTCACTGAAGATGGTGATGATGAATATTTACCTATGAATCTATCCAAAAAACGAAAATTGAAATAGTTTTGGTTGATTCTTTGACCATACGGATTTTTTTCGTTTTGCCTTTGAATTTGCTTTGTATGTACCGTATGATCGAAAAAAAAACGGCGTCCAGTGGGCTTAGAAGTGACGATTGATTTCCGAGCCTACTCGGACGCTGTTTTTTTTTCGATCGTATGGTATAATAAAACAGGAAGAAATAACAGACACTTTGTAAAATTGAATTTTTTAACCAGAGCTATAGATTTTTAAGTTTTATAATTAGGGTATGACATTTAAATTTGAATTTAGATCTGTCTTGAATGGTGAAAATGTTGAAAAACATATAATAAAGGTCTCTTTTCATTTTTATAATGAATTATTTCAAATTTTAATAATATACAGTATGTCCCCGGCACTTTTTATTATTGACATTTTGAGAAAAATGCATTCTTCATAGAAAATTTTGCTTTTTCTAAAAAGTTAATCCCGTTTATATTTTCATACCGTTTTAGAGAAAATTAATGAAAAAACATGAAAATATGGTTGAATTTCCAAAAATCAAAACGCGTTGCTATATGGTAATATAATTTCATTTTAATTCTCCCATAGATTGTTGTTGATAGAATTTTGATTAAACGTCATATTATTTTGCTGTTTTAAAATGTTAAACAAGCACACAATTTATTTGGATTAGTGCTTCTGAAAAGGTGATTATACATTTTCTGCTTCTTTAACTAAAATAACAAAAAATAGCAACGACCTTAATCAAAATTAATAATAACCACCTATCAAAAAATGAAAACTAAATGATATTACCATAAAAACGCTTTTTGATTTTTGACTTAGAAAAAATCCACCATATTTTCATGTTTTTTTTTTAATTTTCTCTAAAAAACGGTATGAAAATTTCTTAAAACATATACAGTCAAAGATATAATATTTAAGTATCTATAACCATTTTAGAACAAGCAAAAATTATTATGAAGAATGCATTTTTACTCTAAAAATCTCAATAATAAACAAGTTTTTCCTCTTGTATACAAATAATCAGTAATTTATCAATATAAAGTCAATAAGTTGACTTAAAAAAAACTGTCAAATGCAAAAATGACACTATTGACAAGAACGATACTGTTAAAGCATATTAAATGTATGCCAACGTTTTTCAACGTCGTAAACCTATTTGTCAAACGACTGTCACAGAAATTAAAGATTTCAGTGTGCTAACCAACTTTTCAAATTTTTCTTTTTTTTTCAAAACTTTAATTATTTCTTTTTTTTTCTAAACTTTAATTATTTTTGCTAGTTTTAAAAATTCCGCTTTTATACCCTAATTATTTAACTTATTCAATTAGTAACCATCATTAATCATTGCTTAATACATTTCAGTATTTTGTTTATTCTTATTTTTTTTTGGTTGTGATTTTTTTTAGTCTTATACATTTTTTTGCCAGTAATTTTTTTTATTTGGTACAAAGCTTTTTTTGTATAGAGAAATAAATATTGATGAAGACATAACACTGCATATTTATTTATGTGCAATTTCATTTGCCTTGTGGTTTTTATACTTTTTGGTTTTTAAGATATTATGCAGTTCCAAAATACCAATCAATTTTTTTCAAATTAAAACGATTTTTCTTTCTTCGAAATAAATAATTGTTATTTCTACATATTGACAATCTGGATAACCTAATTTTCGAGCTTTTAAATTTTGTGTATACAAACTCTGAGGCAATACTAGTGCAATTCTTTATTTATTTATTAGTCTAAACTATTTGCAGTGTTGTGTATTTATTTTTGTTGTGTCTGGTTTTGTGCAATTGTTGATTTTTTTTATTGTTCAATTTTTATGTACGCTTTACCACTGTATTTCTTTTTGTTTTCAAAAACATAACGCTGTTAGCTTGTGTGAGTGCGGTTTTTATTTTTGATAACAATACTTTTACCAAGTGGTAGAGTAAAATATTTTTTGTTTTCAAGGCAAGATTATTAAAAATATTCTATGGTTATTTGCTTCTTATTTTTTCTTCCCTCCCATCTTTTTTGTTTTGCTTTTCGCATGTTTCTTTTTGCATGACTTTTTTGGTGCTTGGATGTATATAATAATGTATAAAGTAGTTTTAGTTTATTATATTATGCTTAGTGTTAAGTTATATTTTAAATATACTATTTCTTAATGGTCTGATGTTTTTTTCTAATATTTTTCATATTTATTTTACAGTTTTATTCTAAAATATGTCCTGGTTGTATTTCAAAATAAATTTAAATCTATTATAATATAGAATGAGCTGAATTTATGTATGAAAACAGAATTGTACTCATTTACTTGACACGTACTCTTCTTTATTCTTCAATGGCGCTTTCTGCCAGTTGGTCTGAAGAAGGTAGCAATTTATTTTTTTATATTGAGTAAAAATTATTTTTAAATGGTGAAATTTTGCAACTATTGACAACGGCGTTTCAGGGCCTTCATACAGACTAGTGACGGGAATACCGGTTCCACATGAGTAGCGTTACAATAGCGACCGTTCCAGAAAAATACCGCGATTTTGTAACCGAGGTTCCGAAGTGTCGCGGTCCGCGCTTATGCAGTATTTCTGGCATTAGTACCTACCTACTCCCAACCAGAGTTGTCAGGTTCTTACAATTGTACCAGCTGTTACAACCATTCGTGCCATAAACTTAGGTACAACTAATATTGGAGATAGATAATTTCTCTCATAAAACCGTCCCAGATACTGGCTTTTGTCATGCCTACGTCGCTACGTTACTATTTCGAAAGTAACGTAGCGACGGGAGCACCAACGCCAATAGTAACCGACCAAATCGCGACAGGCGAAACCGAAACCCTAGAAGCGCTACAGAGACTTCTGGAACGAAGTACGTCGCCGCCGAGGTCGAGCGTCGATAACCAGTTAGAGCAGTTACTTCTGTTCGCGACAGACGGAACTACGACTCTAGGAGCGCGACGGCTGGAGCGAAGTATGTCGCCGCCGAAGTCGAGCGTCGATAACCAGTTACAGCAGTTACCAGTTACTTTTGTTCGCGACAGATGGAACTACGACTCTAGGAGCGCGACGGCTGGAGTGAACATGTCGCGATCGAGATCGCGCGACGCTAAGTACATACCAGTTCCATTTACTACTGTTGGCGAACGACGATATCGCGACGGCTGGAGCTATGCGATTACTACGGTTCGAGCTAACTTCAAGAGCGATTATAAATAATTTATTTGCAAATTATAAATAATTTATAATTTTGTCGTTATTATGTTCGTCGTTCTTCAGTAACAGGTTCCTGATTCGTTGTGGAGCGCAACACGACGTTACAAAAAATACCGCTCCAAAATCGCGTTACTCAAATACCGACACATCGCTAATACAGACAGAAAAAGAATGTTGAATAAATAAATGACACGATAGCACAAAACATAACATCTGCCAAATTTAACAAATTCTTATAAAGACTCTACGTACAATTGTGTGTTTGCATACATAAATGACAAGCATATCGACGCAGCATAAATACTTGTCTGTAGGTAGTTTTATTCCAAGATTGCGATTATATTATTGGTGTTTTTAGTCGCGCTCTTCCACCACCTCCGGCTCACCATGCTTCAGCTCGGCCAGTTCTGGCAAGTCATCCGAGCCATCCATTGCCGGCCCATTTGCAGTTTCCGTCTCATGCACAGGTAAGTTTCATTTAAATCAACTTTTTCCTGTACTATAGCGAAAGAAAGAAAAACAGTTACGATGACACCCTAGATCATATTATATACTTACGTGGATAAGTAAATCACAATGGAAACTGTCGCAAACATATCAACGACTTACATTTATCTTCTTTCTTTGTTGCACACTCGGTGTTTCTACTCTATCTATCCTTGTCGAGGACCTATCGTCCACGCGCCAAATTTAAATATTAATTTTAAAAATTTAATTTGTAAAATGCATATATTTGTACAATAAATTGAATGTTTACTGTCACAAATAATTAAATTATATAAAAAATACATTTAGCCACTCCCAATATTCTTACCAAATCCAACCAGAAAGTATGTGTGTAGTTTAATATAAATAAAAGAACAACTGGAAATACTGTACTTGCCTATTAAAAGATAATTCGGGGACCTTTATATTAGAACTGCCACACACCAGACACATTTTTACGAGTATTTAAAAATTTCATTGGTCGGCACGCTCCGAGGGCCAATTTCAAATCTTCAAACTAATTACACATAATAAATGTGAAAATTACTTTTCAAATATCAAGCCATAGTATCAAGCTCAATGATTTGACATAACTTTTGAGGTTACGTCCTAATTCTTCCTTATTTTAGGTCTTTTTTTTATTATTGGGAATTGAACAATATGGATTTTTTTCTAGGGCATAGTTACGTCACAGATAATATGTGCAAACTGAACGAAATTGGGACCGCTATCGATCATACCTTGTTTTCTTTGTATAAAAAAATACCGAAAAGTCTTTAAAGCGTTCTTTTTCAAAGTTATTCCGATCTTGTGAGTTTAATTTCAATTTTATTTACATAAACCCGTAATAATTATGAAAAGCTAAAGAACTTAAAAAATACTGCGTGAAAAAGTGCAAAAACCAACGTGGAGATGTTGAAAACCAACCACATCATTTCCGTTGAATTAATATTGTTAAGCCTGGGGCATATGAGTTGTTAATCTCTAGTCTCTGGATTATAATCTTCTATTTACGTCTGTAACCTAAAAAAATAAATTACTTCTTCAACTTTTAAATGTTTGCTTTTCATTTTCAACTTATCATTTATACAGGTCGCTGCAGCATCCTATGGTTTCGCTCCTTTGAGCCCTGGAAAGGGACATCAGTACCAAACGAGTTTATGGTTTACAGAATAGTGGTAAGTAGTTATTTATAATTCCAGAAGTTATCCATTTTTGATAGCACATTAGAGATATACCATCCTGGACACTTCATCTGCGTGGTCTGTATTTTAATGCATGCGACAGACATAAACATAAATGACCGATTGACAGACAGAGAGACAAAATAAAAAACTGCATACAGTGTTGCCGGTTTTTACTTGTGCCGGAAAAGGTGGTAGAAAAAAAATAAACTATTTTAAAAACTTTCATGTATACTACTGAAATGAAGATAATATATCTAAGCCAAATCTAAACTATTACAGCTGTAGTGAAATGAGTAGCTAATTATGAAGAATAAAGTTCCAACCCTAGATGCAACATTTTTCGTAAATACCTACTTGTGCGGTTTGAAATTTTGATGCAAAATCCGGCAATACCGTATAGAAGAAATATATCAAACCAACTTTTATCTCTTTTTAATATATTTGATTTTCCATTAAGCTGTCTGCATCACTGTCTTACACGTTGAAATCCAAACCACGCAGTTTCGACGACCAGACCGATATAAAGCAATCCAAAATGAAATAATTGACTCTCTTTATATAATTCATATCAAATAAACTTTCAGTCACGTTATTAAGCTAGACCGGCACACCGTTGCCGACTTTTACATATTTTCTTTTAATCAAAATATTTTAGGAAACAAAAATAAATTAATTATAAATATATAAACAATTATTATTAACATCAACAAAACTCACCTTCTTAACAGCACTTTATGGCCATTGCTACAGCTTTCCCGTTCAAAATATTCTAATAAAGTTGCGATGAGTTATCTTGTACACTTCGCACCAACGCACATGTGGCAACTTGACGTTTTTTAAAGCAGAGCTACCATCTGAAACCTCAGCGGGAAATTTTAATTCCAGTTAGTCAGCCCGGCACCGAATATGTCCTTGGTTGGCAACAATGAACTTAAAAATCGCACCCTCGATTACGTAACTAAAAGTTTAATTGGTATCAAATATAAGAGCATTTATTAGAAATTAAAATATCTTTACATATTTCTTTATTTCTTTTTAGGTACCTAATAATACCATCCCCTACGATTATCTACTGATATAGAGCACCTCAAATCGCATACCAGTCTACCCTTAGACCGATGCGTACCGAAAAATAAGCGAATATTCTAAAAAAGCACCGGGATGGCCGAAAATTTATGACATATTACGCCATCTTCGCTGCGCAACATGAACCGACTAGCCGAAACACGAATGAATCCGTGGCTAGTTGTTCTAATATAATAATTATATAAATATGTGGAATGTCTCTTTTCTTGGCCAGTCTATAGAACTAGTACTAGATGTTTTATCGTTTTTTCTAATAAGACATAATATGGCGTTGGATCAACATGAAATTATTGTTCACACAAGAGAGATAAAAGTTTTTTAGACACTGTTTTAATCATTAGGATTTTTTGGGTATTAATACTAATCCAGGGTAGGAGTTAGATGTAATTCAAAAGAAATGCGTATACGAGGGTTTTAATTTTATGTTTTAAGTTTTTTTTTTGGGATAGATTTAAGTAGGCTTTTTTATATTGTTCTGTTCACTGACTAACGTAGTCATTATTGTTGAACCTTGCTTTTTGTAAATATCTGTCGATTTGTGATTGCAATCAGACAGAATATGTTTTATTAATTAACAAATCTAATATAGAATCCTTAGTACCTCGTGAAATCGCATTTTGATTTGAACTACACGAATATCAAATTCACTAAAATATTTTCATCTAAAATTTTGGCGTGGTGTTACAGCAGAAAATTAGAGAAATTATCTAAAAACAAACCTGCATCAGTAATATGTAACTTGATTGCATTACATTAACAATATGTAATGTAATGTTATTACAAAAAACAGTATTTAATCTAATGTCATTACATCAACAATATGTAATTTGATTGCATTACATCAACAATATGTAATTTGATTGCATTACATCAACAATATGTAATTTGATTGCATTACATCAACAATATGTAATGGCATTGCGTACACAGTACGTAATGTAATGGCATTACATCAACAATATGTACTTTGGTTGCATTACATCAACAATATGTAATATAATGACATTACATAAACAGTATGTAATGTAATGACATTACATAAACAGTATGTAATGTAATGACATTAGATAAACAACACGTAATGTAATAACATTACATAAACACATATTTTTTTCATTGTAACAACACTAAAGGTTTCAACCAAAATATTTTTTTTTATTTTCAAAAAATTATATATTTTTTTAAATCTCTTGCCAAATTGATGATAATGTGGCTAACACAACTGTCTAAAAAGTATAGTTCAAATCAAAATGCGATTTTTTGACCAATTATCTTTTCACGGTCGTACTGTATAATATGTACAACGTAACATATACGGAACGTTTAATAAAATCGGTACAATTCAAATCACGAGGTTCTAGGAGGCTAGAATATTATTTTTTAAAACATTTTTGACAGAATATCGATCGATTCTTATTGACAGGGACTCAACAAAAATACGCGTAGGCCCTACCCAATTTTAGTGATAGTAGTTTGTAGGATTTATTAGAATTGTTTTCACTAGATTTTTCTTAATTTTTCACATATAACACAGAGCTTGGAATAGCGTGGAGTTTTATTAAATGTAAATATTTATGGTATCGTTTTTGCTATTTGTATAATATATAATATTTTCTGTAAACGTTCGTTTACAGAATGTGTCTTAGAAATGTGAGATTTGCTTTACAAAAATCTATTTACTGCCTTCATATCGATAAAAAAAAGGATAAATTTTAACAGGTTTTGGGTAAATTTTAAAATTCTTAACTTATCTATCAGAAGTTTTGTTTTAAAATTTACAAAACCTGTAAATTTCCAATTATTATATTAATTAATTTAGTTTTTTAGGTACTTACTTATCAATTTTTTTTCTTTAGTCGATTAATTTGTATATAGTTTTTTTTTCACCAATTTTTAAGTGTCTTGAATGTCCTTTTATTGTTTTTTAGAAGAAAAAAAATTAGTTTTTTTTCCTCAATTTAGATCGTAGCAAATATTGGGTGTAAATTTTATGCTTTTAATTGTTTATTCGAGTTCTATATTTATATAACCTAGTTTTATTTCCGTTTTTTTTCTATTTTAATCAAATTTTTTCGAGTGATCTCGAAATCGGGGTATTTGAGTGTGATTTTAAAAAATAAATTATTTAAAGACGGATTGATAAAATTTTAGTGAAAGGAGATCACTCAATTAATGATAATTTTAGTCAGAAATATAGGGTGTTACTTTATTAAGTAGGGGCTGTTTTTATTTTCGTTTTAAAGTTTTCACAATTGTTATTTGGGTAAATGTAATTTTTGCATGTATTGGTTTGAAAAAAAAAATCAAAATTTTAATGATTTAACTAGGTGTCATTTTGTTTAGTCACACGATGATTAAAAGTACTTTACGATCGAAAAAAAAACATCGTCATCGTGACCTTTGAAATTATAATTTTTTAAATTTTCTGTCGGTCTGACCTCCCCCATATATGTCATTTCTTAAAATTTTACAAAAACATGTTAAAAAGTAACAGACAAATTTATTGAGTAAATATTATTACTCAATAAATTTATTGAGTACAATTTAATTTACTCGATAAATTTACTGAGTAAAAATTATTTTACTGCAAAAATGTATTGAGTAAAAAATAGTTAACTTAATAAATTTGTTGAGTAAAGATTACTTTATTCAATAGATTTATTAAGTAAAAAATAATTTACGCAATAAATTTATTGAGTAAAAAATAATTTACACAATGAGTAAACATTATTCTGAGTGAAGTATTAATTTTTGGCAAATTTTTCTCTCAATTTTTGGTTATTTACATATAGAGGTAAACAGAAATTTGTCATTTCAAAGGCTACTACGACGCCGTTTTTTTTTCGATTACGCATAATTTAACTGTTAATTATATAAACTTGATTTCATTTAGAAAATCCACATTTTATTAAAGCATTTTAATTTTTAATTTTTGATTTTTTTTAATAAACTGCGACATACCATCAAAATACATTTACCCAAAAAACAAACTAACTAAAATATAGTCAGATTTTTTACTGTAGCAATTATAATAAAATACAATTTGATGTGCCTGTTTCAAAAGGGAAAAATAATAAAAAAATTATCTATAATTGTCTGTACTCTATTGTTTGTTGTTCAAAATGTTCAAATAAAATGTTTACGGATAAACTTAATGTACTTTGCATATGACATATTGCACTTAGATGTCTTAAATGTTACTGTTCAGCCGATGGGGGAGTTCTTTACATCAATAGAGTTACAAGATATATAGTTGTGATATTTAAACATGAAAAAATAATGAATTAGATGGTTTTTTAAATGTGTATATAATCTAAATCTTCTTGCATTAATTTTTTGGGATTTTTTCAATGAAAACAAACAAGAAATTTTTTCTATAGAAAAAATTCGAAATTTTTGATGCTAATAATTTTTGGTATTTGGAAAACATTATAGATGTTAGATAGATGTGTAAAATAATTAAATATTTTTCGATTTACCTAGAATTAGAATGTTTAATGGGAGATATTTAAGGTTAAAGAGGATTTTTTACTGGTAAACTTAAGATTTTTCTGAAAAATTAACACTAGAAGTGGGATAATTTTTTTTAATTTCATTATCTATTAGTCGGCTAGTTTAAAAAATCTGTTTTTTGACAGGATAATCGAAATTTGTATATAATTTTTCATTATTCGTGAGATACAAAGATGATTTGAAAGACATTGTTTCTTTTCTGTGATCGAGAAATTATTTGTACATATATGAAAATCAATCAGTTGCATTTTTATCAAAAAAGGGAGATTTATTTATCAGAAATACCGGGTGTTTCAATATTCCTGTCTCAATGAAATGCTTCAGTTAAATACAAAAAAGCGTGATTTTTTAATTTTTTTACGAGCGTTTAAAAGAGATTATTAGGATTACAAATGTCAATTTACTAAATATTATTCAAGTTCAGACAAAATGTTGTTCCAGATTTGCTACACTTCAAGCAATAATAGAAAATATACACAGAAATAAATAAAAACAAACTCTGAAAAGCAATCTTCTAAGTTTGTATGTAAATGAAGTATTATGTACATTGAAACAGGGATAGTGAAATACCCGGTATATATCGAATCCCCTCTTATATTTTAGTTGAAAAATCCATTGCATTAAAACACTTAGCGATTTTACTAATAATTATAAGGGAAGCCTTAAGTAAGAACAATATTTGTAGTGGTTATTATTATCAATGAAAATAATAAAAAAAGAAAATATATAACTACTCGCACTACTAATTCTACAATTATTTCAATTCGCTCTCCATGTATTTTTCGTTTATTATATAATATATAATATATTGCACAGGGTTATTATACTAATAATTATAAATAACAGCGAACTAGTGTTTAGATTTAATAAAATTAGAGATTAAAATATATATCTGTGGGAGAAACATAAAAGGTAACTTAACCGGTAATTCTTCAATGTTTTACTTTATACGTAATATTTATATTATCTATATATTGTTGCTTAGTAAACCTCAAGACTGGCCTATATTTACATGTAATTCTTCATTAAATGTTAATTGTTCTAAGGTGTACAGTGTTTTTTCGCGCTTTTGTTTTTTCTCAGTATTAACTCTTAATTTTTGGCTTTTCCGAAGGTTTGGTTAGCTGTCAGTTGTCAAAAATGTCTCCTGGTTTTATCGAAATTCAGAATACTGATATTTTTTTTTAAATAGATAAAAAAAAATTGAAACCCCTTGTATATTATTGAAAATTGGTATATAGGCGGAAAATCGAATTCTGAACAACTTTTCTATTTGATATTTTTCGATATCTCATCATCTAACCTCACTTTTAAAGGATTTATAAAGATAATTTTTTGAATTTCCCGCCATGTCGTTTAGACACATGACATATGTTAAAATGACTTTCTTGACGCACATCTTTAATAAATCTTAAAATGTATCACGTATATAGGCAACCTTAATAGTGTTTTGAAGAAACATGAATTCCCTAATGAAATCAGAATAATATACTGGGTGTTCCATTTAAAATAAAAGAGTAACTTGCTTTGAAAAGATGCCAATGTTCAATATTAATTTTGTCTCACCCTGTATAAGTTTTTGGATCAAGTTTTAATTTGATTTAAAGTACAATAGTTATTTTAGCTACATATTAAGCTATGCTGTGTAAATTCTGATTTAGGTAGCTTTTATTGAAATTTATAAATTGTTCTTCATTTTTAGAAAATTGTTAAATACATATGTCAAAAACCTTACATTTTAGTCATAAACTTCTCCTAGAATCCGAAAATCAATTAATATATAGGGTTTTCCATTACAAAGAACACTTTTTTTGGGGGGATACCCTGTATAACTCCCTATAATTTAAAAAAAATGGTCTAAATTAACCTACAGTGCTCACAAAATTTCATTTCAATAGAAACTGTCGTCCTCCTTGGAGCCTCTGCGTTGTATGAGAGGCGCCACCCTGTACAGGGTGTTGACGTATAGTTTAGCCAATCGAAAAAATCAAAATTTAGTTTTAAAAATAACTGAATGCAAAAATTTGATACAACTGAAGGCTATAGACACTGACTAGCTTTCTTAAACCTTCTACACACGGTTATGGTTCAACATTGCTTTCGTTTTAAGTAATCTCGCTGCAACTATTAACTAACCTAGAATAATTAAAGTGTTTTTAGAGCTTTCGAGAAATTTCGTCGTTCATAATATATGAAATAAACAAAGAATATATCAAAATGTAAGGCACAATAACTAATATATTACCTCAGATTTGTATATAAGGAAATTTAGATCTCTCTAAACTCTCTCTGTTTTTTGATTCTTTCTTGTCACTATACAGTGTGCGCGAAAAAGTCTGTATTAAAAGAGATTTGTTATTATTAGTGATTGAAATAATTTAGAAAACCCAGTTAGTTTTTGCGATGAGGTATGTAAAAAATATTTGTTAATTTAGTATTTGGAAGCTTTTTTTCAATAGAAAATGCATAATTTTTTTAGTTTTTCAATTTTAGAATAGCTAAAACATTAATGCGTGGTTTTACCAGTTTTTAGACAAACAAAAACTAACTGGCTTACCTATTTTTCTCTATCTTTAATAACAAGAAAGTGTTATTTGATACAGACTTTTTTGCCAACACTGTATGTGCTCATAACAGAAAATAGCATGGTTTTAATTTAAGAGACAGAATAGTTTCTGTTTCATATTAATATTGGTATTTTAGTGCATTATTATAATCGATTCCTATTATTTTTATTATCAGTTATATTAGTTTAGTTTTAGTGTATAATATTGGATTTGTATATCGTTCTTTGGGGTTTGGTTTTATTAAACAATAATAAACTATTAATTTTAGTCAGTTACCATATATTATGCGCTTATTGTATTTTAACGGTGTTGTAGAGAGTTAATGATTTTGCTGTTTTTATTCACTTCGTCTGATTTGGTCCTGTCTGTTTGTTCTCAGTACATACGTGTATATCAAAAAATTAGAATTCAGAAACTCATGATACACTTCCATTTCTAAAAAGAAATATAAGATTTTTTATGCATGTCAACTTTTTGAACATCGAGAAAAATTTTGGATAAAAAATTGTTGTTACTAGGGATGGATTTTTTTCCGATATATCGATAGTTAACTTATCGATAGGTGAATTTCATTGTCGCCCATCCCTAGGTGTAGCTACAGAAAAAGAAACAGTTTTATCCAATAACCTTTCTTTGTCAAAAAGTCATGTTTTTTACTATCAAACTTAAAGGCTGCACTGTATAATATAGAATTTTTTAGGCATACCCTGTAGAACCCTCTTACTGTTTTTTTCCAACCAGTATTATAACGAATATACTGTGTGATCGAACGAAAACAACAGATTATCCTTAGCAACAAAAATGAGACGTTAAATTACTTTTATAGAATCTAAAATATTTGTCACACTGACTGGAAAAAAAATCAGACAGTAATATAATTTCTATGCCTATCGTGACGTCGTTTTTTTTCAATCACACGGTATGTAACGAAAAAAAAAAATGATTTTCTTGTAGTATATTCTTGCAATGGTCGTATCAGCGTAATAAAATACAGGGTATGTCGAAATAAAACTAGTAATTTTACTGTTAAAATTAGTGTTACACAAGACTGGGTGTAGATCATGTCAATATAATATATTATTATTAAAATATAGCTATTTTAGGCGCGACATTTATACAAAAAATGTCGAAATTACTTGGTGATAGGCATATTAGTAATTTGTAAATGTATATTATTCATTATTAACTATAGATTTACTATAACCGTGGAGTGAAATGAAATGTTGATTTAAAAAAAACGGATGGGTAAAAAGGTTGGGTCCGAATTTTTGTTCTTTAAAGTGCGGAAAAATATGATTTTGTGTGATTTTTTGAGTGATGTTAGGACAAGATGGACCTAATTTTTCTTTACCCTAGAGAAAAATTTTGACATATTTGTCTAGTAAATCGAAACAAAATGGAGAATAGTACAAAAGCGTATTGAACTTATCTGTTATATATATTTAACAAAGTTTATAAAAAGACTATTGTGATTTTGTATGTATATATTTTGAAAATGAAAATAAATCAGACGAAATTTAACTTCATATTTTTGACAATAATAAATTAATATAATTTAATTTTTTTTATGGAAAAATTCTTGTTTTGGTAGTTTTTTATTCTTTAAGGTAGTCACACACGTACAGTTTTTCATCCAGGCAAAACTGACGTCATCATCTGACTCTTCTGACACATCAAAGTTTTCTTATTTTTTTTGTGTGAAATAATAAAACTATTTCTGACTATGATATTTAAAATTTAGATAGATAGAAAATTAAAAAACATACCGGTATTTGCAGACGCATGCCCAAATTCAATAAAAACCAAAAATTTTCCTGCGAAAATCGGGCTTTTTTCACTGAAAAGGTATTTTTTGATTTATGTCAGTCATTGTCAAGTTGACAATATACAGGGTGTTTTCTAATTAGTCTAAAAAAATTGTGGTGTGATTCCTCATGTGTTCTTAAAACAATTTTTATATAACCATTAGGTCTAAAGTACTTCCTTTCTGATCTACAGGGTGTTAAAAATTAAAAAAAATCAATTTTTTGCTTAACATAAATGGTACACCACTGTTTTTTTAAAGAAAATATTTTTTTTTCTTGACAGGCCATCCTTTTTCAACAAAATTGATCTTTTGAGTTTTTCTTGTTCATCAAACGGTTGTCGAGAAACAAATAATTATACTTATTAAGAGCCCGCCTTAAGCCGTTTTTTAACGATTTTTATTTTTTAGATTAATTAGGAAACACCCTGTATATGCATATCACAGGCAACCAAATAAACTAGTAACCTCTAAAAATTATTTTTCCCACCACTAGCGACATACCGTGTTTTTAGTGAGTACTAAATTATTTTATCAAAATTTCACCATATAAGTTTCCAGGCAATGGCTTTATCTCAGTTTAATAATATATTTTCGTACTTTTGTGCTTAGGCGGAAAAGTGCTTTACTTCTATTCCTAGGCATTAAAATGACTTTTTTATATTGTCAATCACGTCGCAAAAATTAATACTTTTGTGACGTTCTGTCAATAACATATTTTCTCTTTTTGTAAATTTAATCTACTACCTGTTATCATAATATCAAAATATGGTTTTCTCAAATTTTGTCCCAAATTGCACATTTTTCAAAAAGACCCTGTAACTCAGAAACGAAGAGGCCTATGAAAATTTTGTTTACAGCATCTTCCATTTGGCAAAAACTTAGGACAGGTTTGTGCAAACCGCATCCTCTTATCTTCACTAATCACGAAGATACCGTATGATTTCAACCAAAATATTTCACCATAAACGTTGAAAAATATCTCAAAGCCTTGACTTCCCAGTCAAAAACCTAAAGGAAAAACTGAAGGTGTGTGGCTACCTTTAATTTGTAAATATGTGTGGCCAAATTTTGTTGTTATGAAATACGGCCAAAATATAAGTACGTGGTGATATAAACAAACAAATAAAACACTGGACGAGCATGTCAAAATTTTAACGAAGATACTTTTATAGTGAAAAGAAAATGGCGAAACATAATATTTAACTATATGGGTGATTAATAATTTTAGTTTGTAGTACAAAAAGAAGAAATACATTTTATCGTATAGATAAAGTATGTGTTTTATATTATACATATGTCATAGGCTACTAGCTGTTTTTGCTGTTTCAAAATAAATAAAGAAAACTATTTACCCGTAAATATAACAAATTTTCTAAATGTTTTGCACACAAACACTACTTTTAATCCACTTTGAGATGTTTACAGATGTTAGACAATCGTAGAATTTTCAAAATTTCGATCAGATTTTGATTGTTGGCTGGGATATACTAAAAATTATTTTTGGATCAAGATATTGACCAATTTTTTTTAGTAATATACTACATGGTTGTTTGATTTTAACAGCAACCAAAGCTTTATGTTATATCAAGAAAACTAATTAATAATACTCTGTATACCTTAAACGAACCTCTATATTTATATGATGTAAACGGTTATTATTTGACCACCTGGTATATATCCTAGCTGACCTAAATCTGTGAAAGGTATCTAAAATGACTTATTATATGTTCTCCAAATTTCTTTACCTGTTTTTGTTAATGTGAAATTGATCAATTCTTAATAAAAATTAGTAGTTCAAATGAACCATTTTTATAATCACTTAAAATTATATTTCCACACACATGTAAGTTGTTTTAGATAGCCTTAATTTTAAAATTTGAAGCAAAATATATGCTTTTGAGAATTTATCTTTCATACGAGAATAGTAGTGAAAATTTAGATGTTTAGAAAATATTGGTCCTGTAAGGTAAAATTATTTGCTAAAACGAGAGTGCTATATTCTGCTAATGACACCTAATTTAACTAAAAACAACTCAACCGAAGCAGATATAACTCAAACCGAATAAGAAATATATCCCACCGAAACTATTAGCAGGGTAAAAGTTGAAAATGAACTAAATTTGTGATTATTTCAAGAGAAACGTCCAATAATTTTAAAACAGATATGTTTCTTTTTTGTTTTCGTTTGCCATTGTAGGAAGTTTTTGCTTTTAAGGAAAAAAACATAACGAAGGACTGTAAACCTGCACAATTGACTGTATTTAACAAAAAAAACCTGCCATAAGAAAATGTTTTTGCTGGACCAAACTTAATAATAATCTAAGGATCATAATTATAAATGTTTTTTCCGTATTTACTACTGTTTTAATAGTCCACCTTTAAAAGAAAGTATTTCTCTGAATTCAACCAAGTAACTGCATCGATTTGAAGTAAATAAATATTAAAAAATCTATTTTATCTATGTACTTATTAAGGTTGGACTATTGAGATACTTTTCAGTGTTACAAAAAAAAGAATTATGATAGGTATTCAATGTGATTTTGGCCTGAAGTTAGACCATATTTGTAAATGTAAAATAATAAACAAATTAGTGAGTATATCTGCATGTAAAATAGAACTTCCTAAATGTTCAGCTTGCATAGAGAGAAACATTTTTTCATCAAATTATACGAAAACTTTCCTGATAAAGTTTTTATGAAGCACATCAGAGAGTAAATTGATTAAGTGTTGGAAATATTTCTCTTGAACCTTTTTTGGTCGTTTTTGTAAAGAAGAAAAGTAATTTTACTCTCTGAGTTTAATGAACTAACAGAGACTTTCAATAGTTTTTTGACTTGAAACATTTTTCTTTTATTAACAAAGATCGTGCATAACACACTTGTGGCCTATTTTTTAAATATTCCGCTTGGGTGTTTCGTAATATGAATTAAATTTGTTCAGAAACTATTAGTGTTGTTTTATTTACGTTCACCTATCCTTTGTTAAAGAATCAAGAAGAGAAATGACATTTGAAATGGTAAGTAAAGAAAAATGTGTTCGGAAAATTTAGCCGCCCTGTATATCGTAGCTGAATTAAATAAGTAAAATGGGTGTAAGATGGCTTGATAAAATTACCTAGATTAATTCTACTGAAATTTTCTTGATTATACGTGCTAAAATTTATAATAAACCAGAAGTAGTTCATATGTACCAAATTGGATACTGACTTACAAATTGTTTTATTTTATTTATTCCCATTGCTTATGCATAATAAATTGATCTAGGTGGGTTTAATTAGAATATTTGAAATAAAATACATGTTTTTGAAAATTTATCTTTCATATTAGAAGAGTAGTGAAAATTTGGATTATGTTTAGATAATATTGGTCCTGTAAGCTAAAATTATTTCCTAAAACGAGAGTGCTATATTCTGCTAATGACACCTAATTTAACTAAAAACAACTCAACCGAAGCAGATATAACTCAAACCGAATAAGAAATATATCCCACCGAAACTATTAGCAGGGTAAAAGTTGAAAATGAACTAAATTTGTGATTATTTCAAGAGAAACGTCCAATAATTTTAAAACAGGTATGTTTCTTTTTTGTTTTCGTTTGCCATTGTAGGAAGTTTTTGCTTTTAAGGAAAAAAACATAACGAAGGACTGTAAACCTGCACAATTGACTGTATTTAACAAAAAAAACCTGCCATAAGAAAATGTTTTTGCTGGACCAAACTTAATAATAATCTAAGGATCATAATTATAAATGTTTTTTCCGTATTTACTACTGTTTTAATAGTCCACCTTTAAAAGAAAGTATTTCTCTCTGAATTCAACCAAGTAACTGCATCGATTTGAAGTAAATAAATATTAAAAAAATCTATTTTATCTATGTACTTATTAAGGTTGGACTATTGAGATACTTTTCAGTGTTACAAAAAAGAATTATGATAGGTATTCAATGTGATTTTGGCCTGAAGTTAGACCATATTTGTAAATGTAAAATAATAAACAAATTAGTGAGTATATCTGCATGTAAAATAGAACTTCCTAAATGTTAAGCTTGCATAGAGAGAAACATTTTTTCATCAAATTATACGAAAACTTTCCTGATAAAGTTTTTATGAAGCACATCAGAGAGTAAATTGAGTAAGTGTTGGAAATATTTCTCTTGAACCTTTTTTGGTCGTTTTTGTAAAAGAAGAAAAGTAATTTTACTCTCTGAGTTTAATGAACTAACAGAGACTTTCAATAGTTTTTTGACTTGAAACATTTTTCTCTTTATTAACAAAGATCGTGCATAACACACTTGTGGCCTTTTTTAAATATTCCGCTTGGGTGTTTCGTAATATGAATTAAATTTGTTCAGAAACTATTAATGTTGTTTTATTTACGTTCACCTATCCTTTTTTAAAGAATCAAGAAGAGAAATTACATTATTTGAAAAGGTAAGTAAAAGAAAAATGTGTGAATTAAATAAGTAAAAGGGGGTGTAAGATGGCTTGATAAAATTACCTAAATCAATTCTACTGAAATTTGTTTGATTATACGTGTTAAAATGTATAATAAATCAGTTTTTAAAAAGTAGTTCATATGTACCAAATTGTATACTGACTTACAAATTGTTTGATTTTATTTATTCCCATTGCTTATGCATAATAAATTGAACTAGGTGGGTTTAATTAGAATATTTGAAATAAAATACATGTTTTTGAAAATTTATCTTTCATATTAGAGAGTAGTGAAAATTTGGATTATGTTTAGATAATATTGGTCCTGTAAGCTAAAATTATTTCCTAAAACGAGAGTGCTATATTCTGCTAATGACACCTAATTTAACTAAAAACAACTCAACCGAAGCAGATATAACTCAAACCGAATAAGA